GTGTCAGTTTATTCCTCTTCCAGTACTGAACCATTTTGAACAAAGAGGTGATTTTAGAGACGATACAGCTATCATGAGGAGAGTTTTAGGACACATGCTATAATGTGCGTATCATTGGCAGGTCTACGAGGACTGGGACAGCTTCAAACTTAACGACATGCTTGAGGTCTACGGGATCCTCTCCGTCAGTCCCGCTCTCAGCGCCTTAGCCGACGAGAAGTAAGACACGTACTTTGATTTTCCTCCTTTTGCCCTGATCTGCTCGGTTTGTTTCTCATTGTTGACGTTTCCGTACAGAGACGCCTCTGCAAACCTGCTGGATCCCACGGAGTCCATGGAGACGGCAGAGGAGCAGAGGGTGCACTGCCCGCCAGCCTCGCTCGTTCCACGCCTCCACATGCTCTACGCCAAGCAGCTGCAGCACAACAACCCCCTGCTGCCCTCTGCCGCCACCTCGGAGGACAGCAGTGCTTGTAAGGACAAACAGTAGAGTAGTAGGCCTCCAAGTTTCTTCATTCTTTTTCCTCGTGTATGTTACATGCCAATCACACAGCCAGTAAGCATCCAGGAAAATATTTCATAATCCTGCTACAAAAATAAGTATCGCAGCAGGGGGTTTTTTTTTCACAGATTTTAATGAGATAGCTGAATGTAATCTTATTTACATAACATTCTGCTAAATAAGCCTGAGTACTGGGGTTGTCTAGATTTCACTTGACAACTTGAAGAAGAGACACTTTTGGCAAGTTTGACTTCATTCCTCCGGAGGGATGAAGTCAAACTTTATTAAAAAAAACATTAAGTAAACAACCTGATGCTTCCAGCACTGCAGACAAATCAGTTATTAATGCTGAATCAATGTGGGCGACACATTTAAACTGCTTTGACTACATAAATATTATTTGCGGTGACTGTGCAATACTTTAGTGATACAGAGCCTCCTTCAGCTGTCCTCGGTGCTGGAGGAAGCATGAGAATCCTTCAGTTCTGTGCACTTTTAGCACTGTTGCCGCACAGCAAAAAGAGCCTGGGGTCAAATCTAACACTCACGATATTCTCCGTGTACCTCAGTGGGCTCTTTCCGGTATTCCTGCTTTCTCTCACAGTCCAAAGACGGGCTCCTTAGGTTAACTGGCGATTCTAAATTGGTGTGAGGAGTGGATTAGGGGTGGGTTCTGATTATCGATTTATCGATTAAAATCGATTCTAGCTTGGATAACGTAAAATTGATTCATTAAAATCCTGAATCGATTTTAAAATGTAAATATATTTTGCCCGAAACGCCAGAATCTCAGGTTAAACCTCACAAAATTACAACAACCACCAAACAGCTAAAACAGTAAATGAGAGCAGGTACATGGATTCTGCACAAAGACGTAAACAAAGCGCGGACCCGCCGACGGATCAGAATCAGTGAGATGTCGCCTTTCTTACCCGACGTGCCGGACACGGTCGGGGCTGACAGCTCGCTGATCCTGATGTTTCGCCAGGTCTGCGCTTTGTGTTTACGTCCTTTTTGCACTAGATTCTGAAGCTGCAGGTTTTATTTCTCTCCAAACAATATTGAGTGAACCAGCAGCAAAAGAAGATCCAAACTACGCTTCACATAAACATCATCATGAATTCACTCTTAGTTTTGCTATTTTGCTTCCACCAGGATAAAATCACATCTCTCTCTCTCTCTCTCTCTGTTCTTCAAAAACAGTTTCCCGTCTAAAAATCTGTTTTCTTCATTACAACATGCCGGCCGCTGTTTTTTTTTCCTTTTACTTACTTCAATAGGCTACTGAACAAATTTAAACGTCTTAAAATTAGCCGTGTCTCTGATGTGATGCACAGCAGTAACTCATTCATTTGGTTGCTTATGATAAATGGACATTTCTGACAGGATTACTGTGTACTTTACTTCCGACAGCTGAGTTTTCACACTGTCTTAATTTATAACACACCATTTAAAAACAGTCTGAGGTGTTTACTAAAGTGTGCATGGATATCAAGGAAGTCGCTTCAGTAATTATCAAAGAAGATAACAGGACAGATGTACTGTCAGATCTCATTAATAAATAAAATCGCTTAAGCAGGGCGACTTGTTCCATCAGTGTTGTAGGAATGTTTAATGAAGTGTGAGAAGTATTGAAATCAAGCAGGAAAACCATCCCATCAAACTGAAGTTCATTTGCCTTGAAAAGCTTTCTAATAAGAGGAACAATGCAGCGACTGGTTCAGACTGGAGCTGAGTTGACTCTTTGTCCTTTCTTCCTCAGTTTTAGCTTCGACCCTGAGCGAGATGCCCTCTGTCAGAGAAGAGCTTCTGGCATACTTGACTCATGTCCTCCTGGGTGATGCTCTTGCAGCCGAGTACCTCATTCTGCATCTCATTTCTAACGTGTACGTAAAGTTCAGTATGTGAGCTTCCTGATTATTATTTTTTTTGTTATTTTTTATTTGATGGTTTCAAACTAACGCCAGCACACTTTTATTTTTCTTGTAGGTACGTGAGACGGGACGTCCTCCCGCTGGGCAAGTTTACCTTGAACATGAGTGGCTGTCCTACTGTTGCCTCGTACACTGAGCGCCTTTATCAGATCATCCAGCAGCTCGTGCCTTCTGTGAGTTATCAGCGCAATCGGTCGCAGGTACTGCTTGCTTTATATCTGGATGAACTGAGACACACTCAACATTGTTTCCCCTGCAGTCACACTACCTGGGCATGAGCCTCCAGAACATGAACCAGATACGGTTGGTGCCTAAGAAGGACTATGTGGCAAACCGGCTGGTGAGCGGCGCCCTGCAGCTGGCCAAAAACACTTCCCTCTACCTAGATGAAACGCAGCTGGAGCAGGGACAGCTGGACACAACAGGTGGGTCTTCTAGAAGACCACAAGAGGTCGACAGCGAGGACTCAAATGCCACCATTTTTCCTGTCCTTGTGACTGAACTGGGTTGGATCTGTTACTCTGTTGTGTTTGTTGCTGCAGGTGTGCGTAACGTCACGGCCTTGGGGAACCTGATCTCGTGGCAGAAGGTTGATTATGACTTTAACTACCATCAGATGGAATTCCCCTGCAATATTAACGTGCTCATCGCGTCAGAGGGCCGCTCGCTGCTGCCGGTAAGAACGCAGTGAAAGCTCACTCCCACCCATCGCGGATCCCTCCCAGCACCCTCGCCTCGCTCCCCACCCCCGGCTACGGGAGGGGTTCAGTTTCCTCCGGTGTCTCACGAAGCAGAGCCGTGTCAGACACTGGTGGTTGTTTCCAGCCGGCGTCACGATGTCGTCTCAGCTGACATCGGTCGGCCGCAGCCAGCCCTTCAAGCCGGCGGCTTTAACCAGAGTCTCGCTGTGTTGCGAACAGCCTGAGGAATGTGCTGTGCGCTATTTCTGTGTGCTGGTCTAATGGGTTGCCATGGTGGCAGCTGTGTGCCACGGGAACAATCCCGGGAGAGGCGTCAGGCTCGGCCTGCTATTAGGCGAGCAGTGAAGGGCAGCATGCTGTAAACAACTCCCACGGTTCATTAGAAGTCACAATGGTTACATGGTTGTGTTTACTGTTTACAGCGAGCAGCTATTGGCTGATTAGAAGCTGGAGGCTCGGCTCGATCAGATGCTTAACCGTCACCAAGGCTGTCTGCCGTGCTCTGAAGTTTTGATAATATGCCAAAGTAGGCGGGCATGCAGCACACAGGGAAACTTTTGCATAGCAACACCTAGTAAAAAAGACATCCTTTCTGGATATGGACTTCCTCTATGGCACACAATCAATATTATTCTTTATCTCCACAGTCTGACTGTCAGATACACCTGCAGACTCAGGTCGCTCAATCCCACCTGGAGGAGTATCTCAGCACCATGCACATGCTTTCTCAGGCCTCATCACAGCTCAACAAGTTCAGAATCTACCTGAGTGTGGCTCGGCTGCTTGACTACAGCATCTCAGATGAAGTGACAAAGGTGAGACAAGCTCTTATACTTATACAGTGAGTTGAGTTTCAGCTAGTATGGTAGCTGTTTCTTCATGTACCCAGTCTGTTTGAGCAGCTCTTTTTATAAGTTTGCATACAAGAATTAAGTGTCTCCTTTTCCTCCTGCACTCAGTCAGTTGAAGATGACTTTGTAGACATGAGGAAGGATGACCCCCAGAGTATATCTGCCGAGGACCTGCACAGGATGCTCGTTGTGGCGAGGTGGGTTGTGATTTATATAACTGCCTTTATGTAGCATTTAATTAATTTTCATTCATGAGAATAATAACAGCCCCTAAGGCACTTTAGAGTGTTAAGCAATAAGCTATAATCAAAACTGAAAGCACCATAAACAGGCTGATGATAGCTTCACGCCTCAGCGCAGCCAATTTCTTTTTTTCTTTTCTTTTTTAACTCGCTCGTACATCTCATAGTCTCAGACTGGCAGCTTATTAAAACTGAGATGTGGCTCTCTGCGAATCTGTCCGTAGGTTGTTGTCTCTGAGCCAGGGTCAGACCTCGCTGTCCAGAGACAGCTGGCTCCGAGCCAAACACATCGAGGCGCTGCGGAGGAGCCGGATGGAGCAGCACAAGTGTGTCAACGGCAACGAGCCGTGATCAGAGGCAAATGACATGACTTGTTTGCTTTTTTCCCCATTTGATATCTAAACAGTTTGTAATAAAGATGTTTTCATTTGCCACATAGTTCAGGTATTCACGTTTTTTTTTTTTTTTTTAAACTGTGCTGAGCTACATATAAGATTTAGATACTGTTGTATGTACACTAACATCGCAGTTTATCATCACACTGAAGCACTGCCTTAAATTCAAAGTCTCTTGTGGGGTTCACACCAGAGGTTAAGCTCTACTAGACAGAAAGGTCTGTTTACAGGAAAAAAAATAATTTCTATCTTCCAAAAAAAAAAAAAAAAAAAAGTAAATAAAGGAACAAGATCTGGATCAGTTTGTCCTGGTGCATTTTTTCTTCCTGGGTTAGTATACTGTGCTGTGAATACATTTGACAGTAAACATGCAGGAATCTTTTAGTCACTTTATTCCAATGAAATATCTGCCTAAACAAGTGTACAGTGCACCCTGTTATCAAGTAACACACCCAAAGAAGGTAAGAATAAATAGGATACTTTTAATATACAATACAATCTCAGTACACTGTGGAAAACGCTGACAGCCAGTTGGTAAGGATATGAACACAGACATCCAGATGAAACCATGTTAACGCAGGAAAAATGTGCTTAAACAGTGCAAATCAAATGCTTGGAGAGCTCCAGCCACAATGGGAGTGGGCAACCACCAGACGATAAATCAAGAGGTGACCGCAAAAGCACTTGGTGTGAAAAAACGGAAGGAAAGACCAAACTTTTAGCCAGCAAATACAGGATTGACTAGAACAGGCGACATTTGCATATAAAAAGCAAGACACCGACACTCTAGCACTGTGGACTCTTTCAGGAATGTGGAGGATTAAGTTTCCTTCTAGGCTTGAGAGCTGCCCCAGTGTTTGCAATCCTGAATGAAGTTTTAAAAACACCGCTTACCCTCTGTGTTAAAACCTCACAGCTATTACCTTGAAGCTTTGGCAGCACCACACACACATAAACACACCATCAGCAGCACCTAGAAAAGCAGCCGAGTCTCATTTATAATCAGACAAAATATACAAGTGTCCCGCATCTTATCTGCTGGTGAGCAAGCCGAATGCAGAAAGGAGAAAAAAAAAAAAAACAGGCAAAGGTAACACAAAATATGTGACAGTTTATCTTGGGATATCTCAGCTCAGAGCAAGCCAGATTCATATCACAGTCGGACACCAGCAGGACAGGGCAGCTGTGATTTATTATAATTTCTTCTGGTGTCTATAACAAGATCCTGTGGTAGATTTGTTTTTTTAACAACAAATTAACTTAAAAAAAAAACAAAACATGTAAACTTTGTTACAGTGTACACTTCCATATTATAAATAACTGGGATCTCAAAGGCAAGCGGTCCTAAACACCAGCAGCAACAGGATGCTCCGATTTACAGATTCACTGTAAACCACAAACACAACAAAAAAAAAAAAAATACTAATTCTAAAACCTGCCCATTCCCACAGAGAATGAATGTGCCGTTATCAGTGAGATATCCCAACATAAAAAGCTCCGATGACATGCACCAACCCTGAATATCTTTTATACAGTACACAAAATGTAACATGTAAGACTTAAAAAGGTAGATTTTGCCATAAATACCTGATATACATAATCCCACTTTAGTTCCCTATTAAGGCAAATATGCTTTAAGTTTGGGGAGTGCATAAAGCGTCAGTGTTTCTCGTAACTGCGTGGGTGCAGTTGCATATATACCTACTATATGCAACTCGCCTGTCTTTGTCAAACATGCAGTTTTCAATGTATAACGCAAGCTAAGGATTTAGCTCAAATAAACCCTCATCGTGTAGGTAATTATTATAACCATTACCAGAATAGTTATTTCAATACATAAATCTATCAAAAACAACTCCAACCAGATGTTTTCTGGTTATTCGTGGTTAACAATGACAGTACTGGGCGTTCTTTTCAAAATATAATGCTCATACCTCTTTAAACTTCACCTTAGCATCAATACAAAAAGCCTAAAAGACAGCTCTACACAGAGACAGACAATACTCACTGTACATATCAACAACCAGGATACTCTAAGTTCTTAAATAGTCGTTATTTCTACAGCGGTATATCTTCTAAGTTACACTCGACAACATTGATATTACATAGGATTACTACATAGATTATGCCGTCTGGCTAGTTTCTGACAGCTATACAAAGGGTACTTTTCAACACAGAATAGTCCTTTGGGAATCACAAAAGATATTTGGTTGGTTTCTACGACGACTGTTACAAACTTAAGGGCATTACTAGCTCACAAACGCCATTGAGTAACCAGGATGAGTTTATCCTACAGTACATGATAAAATCAGAGTTGGTCTTTCGACATGCAGCTAACTGCTTACCTGCGTCGTCAAAAATCGGTTGTTACCATTAACCTCACACTCGAGCATTGTGGGTAATTAAATAACTTCGGACTAAGGACAATAACATGTTTACACACGGAAATACTCTGCATACCACTCTCAAAGTATATGAGTTTAAAAGCCTAAATATTTTCTTTGTTCTTGGTTGTTTGTCTCTTGAGCTAGTCATATAGTAGAACTATTTCTGGAGTGACTTAAGTTGGATGGAGCACTAAGACTTTGAAAATTATTACACCCTCCAAGTACTCAAATTTCTATCAATATGCCATATTTTTTTTATTCATCCTAGGTACTGTGCACTACTATGCTGAGACATTTATTCAGCATTCATCTGAGAACTAGTTAATAAACCATAAAAGAGAGGAGCGTCAGTGTGCAAGGTTGCATGGCAAAAGATCTATGATTCAGTGCCCTCGAAAGTAGAGTAACCCATACATATGTGCACGTAAACATAGTAACTACTATGATGGGCTTTGGGGTATTTTTATCAATTCTGTACAAGAGTCATTATTAACATGGGCAAGTTTAACTTAAGAGCACATTTCTTGGCCGAGTAGTGACACCATGTGCAAGCTTTTGCTACTGCTACGTTACGGGAAGTTTATACATGACAAACGACTCCAAAGTGCTGCTACAAGGAAAGCACTAGATCTGAATGATCCTGGTCTGGCACTGTGTAAACATTGCCTTCAACTCGTTCTCTTGGACCTCGTTGACAGCTTCTGGCTCGGGGCTTTTCTGTACCTTTGCAACTGCAAAATTGATGCCCTGAGTGAATCCCGCCTGGGTCATGCTGGCCACCTGGACCATGGAACTCTTGATCTTGGCAAAGGGGGACACCACTCGGCTGCCGTTGCTGTCGGCAGGCGAAGGGCCGAGGCTGCCCTCCACCTGTGAGCAAGCGCTTTTCTGAGAGCCTCCTGAGACTGCAGAGCTAGGCTTCTGGATAGTGAGGAGGCTGGAACTGGAGGTAGAGGATTGGACGTCTAGCTGGGATGGCCTGGGGAGCTGAGGCTCCTCCTGCTCCATCTGCTCTGAGCTTGGCTGCTTGTTTGAGTCTGCTGGGTTCTTTTTATGCACAGGCACTGCAGGGTTGTGGAGTGGAGGTATGGCAGCTTGTGGCAGCTCTCCGAACACCTCAACAGGTTTGGTCTGTGCATCCTGGATGAACTGGTGGCAGTAGGCATCGATGGGAGTACCAAAGTCAATGAGAATGGCTTCTTCAGCCACTGAGGCAGCCCCGGGAGACTTGTCATCACTAATGTGAGTTGAGCTTTCTTGCTTCCCGTCACAGCCCGTGACCCGGATAACAGAGGGTATATTTAGCTCTGCGCTACCGATGGACTGGGAGCGGCTGCCCAGTCTGGGATTTGATGCTACGATGCCGCAGCTGGGCAGCACATAGTCCACATTTTCTAAGGACCCAGAGCACGGGTGCTCCGGGTCTGAATTATAAGAATCTGAATCTGAAGAGTGTCCATAGTTTTCATTACCAATGTCTTTTAGGACTCCCGTGCCAGCGACGTTATCTGATGTCTCCAAGCTGCTGTCCGACTTCCACAGGTTGACATGCATAGTTGGCTTTAGAAAATTGACTTTTACATCAGGCTTAGAGAAGCTGCCCAGCTTACCGAGGGGCTTGAAGGGGCCGATGTTCACATTTGTCTTGGTCTGTTTCACTTTCTGATTTAGAGTGGAGAATTTATTGAGGATAAAACTTTTGCCTTGTGCAAGGCCGGAGCTCCCTTGAACTTGGTCAGCAGGTTTGTTCTGGATCCCCATGATATCCTCGTGAGGTTTACTCTGCCGCCTGGAAAACACACGCAACTTAAGTCACAGCTCTAGCTGCTGTCTAAAAGTTGGCAATGCAGTCTGAATGTTTAACTTCGTTACACTGAAATCACATCAAAGAGAGACCGAGACGAATGCTAATCAGCATAATTTCTACTTACCTCTCCAGCTTCTTTTCAACCACAAGCAGGTCATTCCCTGTAGCCTGCTTAGTTATGCGAAGCATCTCAGCTATGCACTGCAATGTATCTGTGAAATGTCACAGTGTTAAGTCTTAAGCAATATCTGCACAGTTTAAAGTGTAAAACTAACTTTTTCTCATTTTATTTAAAGAATTCAAATAGTCACACACTACCTTTCCCATCATCCTCGGGATTTCGCGTTGCAGCTCGCAGCGTGTGAAAGTATCCGCTAGTTTCCTCGTTCTTGAAGTGCAGCCGCATACAGCAGAACTTTGGCTTCCCGAACAGAGTAGGCTCAGGACCTGCAAAGCGAAGTGCAACTTCTAATATCCGTTTGTAGTGATTTGCTTCCGTTTCATGAATCATAATGAGCGCAGATATTTCTAAAAGGTTACGGAAGAAACTGTTAAGCACACTTTCGAGAAGTGTTGAATGACTCACTGAGTCTACAAGAGCTCTCACTTCTCCTTGGAGTTTAACTTCTTACCAATTTCAATCTTTTCCAAACCCTCTAAAATGAGGCGTTGGTACTGGTTGACTTTATCTGCTTCTTCATCATAGCTACAAGGAAATAAATGTACATATAAGTCAAATATAAGAGTTGGGGGTTTTTTCTTTCGCAAATTTAAGGTTCAACTTACAAGGCAATATAGTATGCTTTATCAGACAGGAGCAGCAGCACATCTTCATCTTTGTTGGTTGCATCAATGAGGCTGGTGGGAGAGAAGAGAACAGTGGGATTAAAAGAGCACGGAAAAGCCTCGATGGAACTATAGTTCAGCTATATCCTGATTATATAAAGCCATTAAGCATCAACGCACAGTCAGAACAGCATTTCGCTCACCTCATGTCACAGTTTATGAGGGCCCAGCCTCCGTGAAACTTCTCATCGTCTAGTAACAGCAGCTGCATGTAGGTCTGCAGGAGGAGGCTGACCTGCTCCTGGGCCCCTCTTTGGCTCTCCTTTTCTTTTTCTTCATGCTCCTTCTCTTTACTGAAGATGGAGTAAAGGTCCTCCGTCACTGGCAGGCCCATCATCAGGTCTGCAGACAGAAGCAAAAGGAGTTTTAACAAATGCAAATTAAGGATTGATTTCAAGACACTATAGGTAGAAACCAATATGAGTAGTTTTTTTGTTTTCAAATACCAATCACTGCTTGTCTGTAGGCATCCCTAAAACGGTTCAGATAGTAGCGATTGGCTGAGTTCACCCCGTCCTTCATGACACCGGCCAGTTTCCTTTCTCCCGTCCTGGTGAAATCCCCCTAAAACAGGACAAAAAGTGTTACCTTTAACTCGTCGCACTGCTTTTTTTATTTAATTATTTGACGACCTGAGTGCAGTGCTAAAAGGTTATGTCCATATTTGTGACATCCCTTTTTGTTTAAATATGGCTTACTTGTGTATTTGCACATTCACAGTTATTGCCCAATATGACAATATGTGAGAAGTACCGTTTCTGTTTTTAACACTTTTTTCTCTCTGTCAAGTCTTCTAAAGAACATTTAGAATACTAGATGCTTCCCTGTGTGTCATTTGGTTCTGAAAAGGTGCTGTTCAGTAAGTTTACAGTAGGAAAACATTACACTGTACTCAGATTTGGGTAGCACTTCTAAGTAGGATTATCCCAGACCTCATACAATTAAGATACCTTGAGAGCTGCTGTGCCAGCATACTGTCTGCTGATGGTGTCACCGTTGTTTGCCCACATGACCTGATAAATCCTGTAACACTTGAGAGGCAGAGGCTGCTCTGGAGGCATCACACCCAATTTCTTCAGCTGCAGGAAGAAAAGCACACATAAAATGCAATCCTTGATATTTATAATGGTTATGACCTTTTTTTTTTAATAATCAGGATTTCTAAAATATAAGTTATCATAAACAAAAAAAATCCAGAAAATCACACCTGTTGCTCCATCACTACCCGGGCAATAGCAGCTTGGACCACATTGGTCCTGTCAAGACAGTCCATACAGTTTACTCTGAAGATGCCCTCCTGCTTGCAGATTACTCCTGCTTGGTCCACCCTGGCAGAGGGACACACAACCAGAATCAAGACACATTCACAGAAATCGCATTTTGACACCAAACCTATCATGCTATAGTGCTCAGGGGGCACGACACTTACCAGGCCCACTTCATGTCAGTGATGATGTCAGAAATAGCATCTGTCAGTATCTGCACATTCTCAAACTTCATGCCGCGGCTGAGAAACAGGATACAAGAACCATACAGGGGAAGTGAATGTACTGTGGTCATATATAGATTGTGAAATTCGTGTAAAAGACGCTCGTGTAAAAAGGGTCTGTCTCACCAGTGCTCGTGAAAGTCGAATGAAACATAAGTGAGGTTAGAGTTGTTGTACAGGAGGACTTGTTTCAGATATGCATCACCAATTATCTTCTCCCGCCCACTTTGATCCACCAAGTTAACGATGACCTAAAGAAGACACCAAAAAGTGCTGTCACTGGATTTTTAAGATTTTTGGGTTCAGTGAAGAGTGAAAAAATATATATTAACTTTATCACATGAAGAAAAAAAAAAAAACTGGGAAACAGGCTTAAGTCTTTAAAAAAAAAGCCAACAGCTGAGCTCATCACAAGCTTAAATAAAAGTACTGCTACACTACTGTAAACACTATCTGAAATAATCCAAGCTACTGACAAGCAATGTCACTGATCATTAGCAGGATGTTCTGTTTTAGTTACAACAGGAAGCGGGTTATGCAAGCACTATGTATAGCTGCAGACACCACAACCCAAAGTAAATAACAGAAAATGCATTTAATAAATAGCCTAAGCGGATATACAAGTATGCACTCTGGTGAGGAACACTCACCTGCTTCTTGTACAGTTTAAGTTGTTCTTCAAAGTGAGCAGCAAAGTAGGTCATAGTCTCCTTCTCTCCTGAAATGTCAGGTGAAAATATGCATTAAAAACTTTTTTATTATTATTGATTCTGGTGAAAGAGTTATTTATGTTGTTTCCAATGCAAAACAAGGAGGCAGTCACAGTTAAAATAATTTACTGATTACAATCTATAATTTATGCAAGAAATAAAAAAATAATAATAATCAGAGCAAGGGCAGAGAAGCTAGGCTACAATTTTTAAGCTACCTCATGAGAAATTGCTACTGGAAAGATTTCTACACAAAGAGTGTCAGAAACCATCAGTTTAGGTCTAAATACAAGATAGAGCTCTACTGACCTTTTTCTATCCGTGGCCGGGGGTTGTAGCGATACCCTGCCTGACTCCAAAAGACAGGCACAGAGCCACGAGTCTGCACAAAGGACAGAGTGTGGCTGTGCACGTGAATCAACTGCTCCGTCTCCACATAGTTAGCTACATGGCCGTCTGTATCCACTCCTCTGCGTTTGTACCGCATCCCTTTGGGGGAGAATAATGCATGTGTATTTATATCCTGGATCATGCTTCACTTGCACACAATAAATCAGCTAGCTACCAGAATGTGCCTTAATTACTTGTTGCAGCCCATGCAACTGGACTGAATCAGAGCATGACTCCCCTAAGGCAAACTCTACCTGCGCGGTGGCGGCTACGTCTGGAGATCAGGGCCACAGTGAAACGAGGATGGATGTCATCAACACAAGTGATCTCCTTTGGTGGGGTGTCAGGGCTGCTCCGCTCTTCATCAGAGGTCTCATTGTAGTTTACCACCAGTTCCTCCACCTGCACAAAGCCCTGGATGATTGGTATCACCCAGAAGTCAACCTCTGGGACCTGGAACGTTCAACAGACATTAAAAAAAGAAAAATAGCCGGACAGATTAAAATTTAGTTTGAGGCCAGGTTGATAAGAAAGTACTTTGCATCCCGCCTTTGAGTATTTTCATGCTGCTTTTGATAACGCCCTGGCATTTATCAGTACATACAAATGCCACATTTAAACAGCATGACCAACTACACTCTTTTAAGCTGACTATTTTACAGAAAATACAATGACTCTGTAAGCAGTTTTCAGGAGAACACAGTGTTTTCATTTAATTCTAATTACTCAGGCCTGAAAATAGAAAAGCAGCACTAAGCAGACGCTCTCTGTATTCCCCAGTAGATGGGTGGGGCGGGTGTTCAATACCTGAAGGTCAATAAGTTCTTGGATCATGTGTTTATTCCAGAAGAAACGGTCATCCACCTTTAACACAGAGTAAAAACACAGTCAGCCACAATAAGGAGTTTGTGTAGTAAGCAGAATAAAGCAGAATAAAAGAGAATAAGCAGAATAAAATAACTTCAATAACTCCAAACCTGCTTCCACAGAGGCATGTCAGACTTATCAGAGTCTCCTTGACGCTGGACACTGTTTGTCAGGTCGTAGGTCATGCTGTAGTAGAAGGAGTCGGAGTCCATGAATATCTTGTACAGCTCATCCAGCAGCCGCCTCTCCAGGCGTTCCTTCTCTTTGTTTTCCTTGACCTGAAAAGCAGGGGAATACTGGATTGGGCAGGTGGAAAGAAAAAGTAAGTCAACAAAAGAAGGAAATCCTAGAAGAACTTCAAAGCCTTCACTAGTTTGAAAGAGAGGAAAGGTAGGGGATCAGTTTCAAGATGATAATCCATGCTTGTGTGTAAAACAAAACAATACCTTTTTCTTGATGGGCACAGCCACATTAGATTTGATCTGACTTAAAGTTTTCATCAGCTTGGACTCATCTGGAGACTGGGCCAGCTTCTCTGGTTTGTCAATGCCAAAGTGATGCTTCTTGCAAAGCTGGAAAAAAAAGAAAAGAGGATGGTCTATCAAATTTCTGCAGCTTTACAAATCAAAACATGATAGTGATATTTAGACCATCAAACACGTTCAATGGGACGAGGACAGAGTTGGAAAAAAAAGTGAATTTGGTATCAGATGTCAGATATTAGATAACCTCTACAAAAACAGCCAAATAGGACACTAGAGTAAACTATAGTAGCAATACTACTACAGGGCTGCTGTAAACAAGCCAACATCTACACTGATGCACACACCAGGATTTCTATGCACAAAGGGAGACACGTGTTCATTCTGCGCTATAAGGGACAAGTGGACAAGATTTAAAAGCCATTGTGCTAACAATCCACCGCCATTATTACTCACTTGGAAATATTCTGTCTCACCATCCACGAAGCTCCCCTGAAAAACTCAAATCTCAGCAATCAACATCCTTTGCGGTCTGCTGCGGTTATTTTATGTCTGCATGTATTTATTTTTTTTTTAAACTAGATATGTGCGGGCAAAAACAAAACTTATCTAAACAACTTCTACACCTCAGTCCATTCTCAGAGCTGAATCATACACTGACTCATAGTGTATTCTTGGATACATTAATACCAATTTAGGATTTTAACTGTTAGAAGTACTGCCCAGGGAACTGAAAGCATGATTAAAACAGAAGTTAAAGAGCAGAATAAACAGCGCATGTGTGCACACCTCCAGCTCGAGCTCCTGAGGCTCTTCGTCAGACAAGGGGATGACGGCGATCTTGGTGATCTTGTAGACTTTGTGGTTTCCAGGTAAGTGGCCGACCAGCGCTTTCTGACGGATTAACACAAGGCCGAGAGGAAGATCTGTCAAGAGGAGGGGAAAAAAAAAAAAAAAAAAGGTGGGGGAGTTGCATCACGGGTGCAAAATTCCTCACATTCTGAAAATGTGTGAAGAAAGCAGCTGCACATCGGTCATTAACGGCAACACAAGAAATCTCTTAAATAATATCGCTTATACTAGAATGTATAAAAACAACAAAAGCACTCGGCATCATACAAATCGGGGCTTGTCATCAATTGAATCATCAGTATTGATTCACTCCTCTTGATTACTACACAGATTTCAAAGCTCTTTCACACATTTCTTTTCACACCTTTACTGGTGAATAAGAAACATCCTGAGCACCGGATGATTTGGCGGCTCAAAAGTCCAAGCACACACAGATGGAAAGCACTGGCGAGAATGCGCCTGCTCTGCGAAGTGTTCAAAGGTCTTCCGTGCTCCACGTACCTGTGTGAAGCTGTATCTTTCCAATGACACCTTCCACCAAACCCAAACACACTGGGTTCCAAGCTAACAGCAGGTCTGTGGCTGAAAGAAAAATACAGAGATGAAACACGACAACAATGCTGTAATACATGCTCTGCAGCATATAAGAAGCCATAAGTAACATTTTTCTGCAGACACAGTTTGTCTGTTTTTTTTGGTCACAGTTTTGCATATGAGTTAATCAAACAAAAGTACAGTAGTCATGACAAAACGACAGTCATAGTTGGCTGGTGCTCTGTTACATGCAGGAACTTGTTTTTTGTTTTTTTAATTAATACTTAGAACACTCTCAAGCCTAGATGATGTGAACGCTGTGTAAAGGTGGTGACAACTCACAGGCAGTAGACTTTCTGTCTCAAACTTGTAAGGTCTCTCACTGTTTGTTCGTGCATATCTATATAAAATGACAGCTATACACTTGCAGGAAAGTCTGCCTGCTTTCATTTTATTGAATAAAATGTGATATGATGCATGAAAAGACAAGCTTTGCCTATTTATTTATTTTTTATTTCCGAACACCAGGTCAAGTATAAGGTCAGCCCAGCAAATAAAACGCAATGTTCTGCATTGGTGAGAGATTACACATCACAGTGGAGGAAATTGGAAAAATGTGAAGGGCGTGGCTAAGGGTGGAGAACATGAACTGTAAGCTGCCCTAAACAATGAGTCTTCCTGTTCCACAAGGCAGACAATTTAATGTGCGGGGGAACCGGCTGGGAGGGCCCCCACAAGAAAGGTCTAGAAAACGGCAAAATTTAAAAAAAAAAAAAAACAACGTAAAAATAAAATAAATAAAAAAACAGTTAAAAAAGTAACAACAACAGCTTCACATAGAAAGTACAATCAGTGAAATACTTAACTATGTGCGAGAGAGTGAAGTGGAAACGCAGTGAGGAGCGGAAACCCTTTTTCCAATTAAATAATGAAACAGTGGTGCAACTAAAAACCTGTTCAGGATGGCTGCACAACCATACTACTTCAACTGCCACAGGGGACAACCTGCACAGCTCTTGTGCTGACTCTCATAAAACTTTTTCTTTCCCTTCTGCTGGGAAAATGTTAATACCACAGGCCTTGGTATTCATTTAACATCAAAGCATGTCCAATAATTAGTCACAGCTGAGCCAGTGTTTCAGTACTCGCTTATGTGACTCAACAGCCAGAACCTGGCAATAACACTCAATATGCTAGCTTTAAATTTTGGTCTTTATACACTTTTATATCGGAATTATATTATAATTTAGCTCTCATTAATCAATCACTTTTCCGGTTTTTTCACCTTCTCGTTGTCTTGTTTTATATCAGATTTGTCTTAAAAAAAATAAATAAATAAAAAGCTGAAGAGTGAGATGCACCTTCCAGTGTGTAACATACAGAGCAAAGTCAGAAGTTTGAAGTCTGTTAGGGGTGTTGGCACTGTCGAAATGAAAGCAAAGAAGCGATCATTTCAAAGCTTGGGATCAATGCTTGAACCATTAAAAATACCGTTTAGCAAGCATCTGTTGTGTTTAACGGAGGCAGGTAAATTAGCTTCGATCTAATAATCATCAAAGGGTTTATTACAGAGATGAATACGCGTCAGACACGAGAGATTAAGGCTGCTGATGTGTTTGAGGTGCACTGGGACAAAACCCAATGAGCACAGTGATGCTGTCAGCTTAAAACAAGCCAGCAAAAACGACGCTTCGTCTTGACTTTAGTGGTAAGTCCAAATGTTAGTGGCACTGTAATGTAATGTTAAATGGCCGGCTGCAGCAGTGAAAAGCGACATCCACATCCAGTACCTACGTACCAGGTCTGACGGTCATCGTCCCGTCTTTTCGGCTGCACCACAGAGCACGGTCCCCGCTCTGAAGAATGTAGTCGTCTTTAGCTTGAAACAACTCCATTTTTGTCTCTTCAGGTTACACAAAAACAAACAACTAGCTGGTCCGACAGCCCGGTCCTGGTCCTTCACGTCTCGACGATTAACCGTCGATAGCCTCGGTTAGCTCGTTTCCCACTGGCTCGCGTGCTACTAGAGCTAGCTACCTAGCGAGCTAGCGGGAGCAGCAGCTGGATGCGTGTCGGATTTGTTTATTCCACTTCTGCGCATATTGATACTCAAACTCGCTCTGTACCGGAGTAGCATCCCTTCCCACGGTCATGCTGGACAGAGTGAAGGCGGCTACACATCAGTGAGTGAGAAACAGCCCCGGGGTGAAGCAGCGGTGAGCCGTTCAAGACGTAATAGGCTGTTTCCTGGTCTAAACAATGACACGTGACATCCGTCATCACCGGTGTGTGCAGGTATTGATCATAACCCCCCCACGTCATACTGTTTACCATATGATTAGTGTAATTGTTAACTAATCTTATATTTACACTTTAAAGGACTAAGAAGCAATAAAAATGTTACCAACACATTTCCCAGGTGTTATTATTTAACCAGCCACCCTATAAGGGCACAATACCACAGCTAAACCAGTACTGGGCTTAAATCTGAATGATAAATGATTTCAAAATTAGGCGGTTATCTGCTTGAATAACCACCAGAGAAATATAATATAATCGTTAAACTCATGTTAGAGGTTAAGCTCATTCATCAGTGAAGGGCGCATTTTAACTGTCCACACCCATCCAGGAAAAAGAGGGCAGAAATGTTCCCAGTCATGATTCACTGTGAGCCTTAGGGAACAGGGAGGGAGCAGCTGACCTCACACTGTGTGATAACTGTTAATCTCACCATGGAAAAGTCTTTAGCAGGAAATAAGGCAGACTTAAGACAGCTGCCTACTAGGCACGGGACACGTTTGCATTGGAAATGGAGGATACACATACTTGTGTTTATTAAAATCAGGCTTGATTTGGTAGCTGGCCAAGTGGACATATACGTATACATATATACATATATACAATTCAATTACCTGGTAATTTTCTTGTCCTTGAGTAAACGATTAACATAAAAACATAAAATAAAAAGGCTCACACTTTGAGAATCTTTGGGAACCCAAGCATCAGTCAAAATTCATGTCAAAGTCATTTTATTTTCAGCCATACCAACGTGAATTTCTTTCATCAAAGCTACTAATAAACCGTGATCAACATTAAGCCACGATCTATAATTTCTGGTTAAGAGTGTTAGGCAGATGGCTTACAGTCTTGTTAGAGTAATAAATTACTACACAAACAGTGTGATCATAAAACTGACAGACTATAGTGTTTTGGGGGGTATTTTATCGCTGTTGGCATCTTTAAGGCTTTTAGGGCCATTTGTGTGTGTGTGTGTGCGTTAGTGTTATTACAGATTGTGGCTTTGGTAGTTATACAAGGACATTCTGACAATCTCTTAACTGCATCTCCTATTTAGCACCAAGTGCTGATTGTCTCACATCTCAAGTAAGATACAAATCTCACCCTCCATTTATTATTACACATTCATTAATGTACCAAAATACTTCATATAATGATATAAATACTAATATCATGATTTGAAATAACGAGAAAACCAATTCACATACAAACACTCAAACACATCAATCAAAACTCCTTTAACTGATATACTTAAAACGAAGTGCTGCTGATTTTCAGCATGATACAATTCAATGATGGCAAAGTGCAAAGACAGCAGAATCAGTAATGCACCAAAAAGCAGCTTCTAATAAACATATTCACTGTGTTCTGTGACAAAGCAGCTCCAACATGGCCATGTGGCGATAAAGGGGGAGAAATGCTTTCCTTGTTGACTCAGTTTAGCAGAGTTCTGCTTTAAAGCCCCGACGTTTGCACTTGTGTACAAACACGTGTACCAACTGGATTGTGAAAAGCTTCATATGATATTCGATCAGACAAAAGGCAATTACACATGACATTTCTTAAGAAAATACTTATGCTTCTCTTCCATTTATTGAAAAAAGGCCTCTTATTTAACCCTTGCCTGGTATTTGTTGTCAACCAATAATCATGACGGCCGTCTTATTATAAAGACATCGGCACAACATAGAAGGCAACAACATTGGCTTGAAAAAACATGATTGCACTGAGCTACCATCAATTATGTGCTGAATGGCTGGACATACCAACACTGTTAATCAATGCATGCAACTTCCACAAATGCTGTAGGTAGAGGAGGAGGAGAGTTAGTCAGAGCAGACTTATCCACTATCAAATATACAGCAGGTAATCCCTCTTGACTCTTTTTATGAAGTGTGCAGTCATTGCGATGTCTCCTTTGTCATCTCAATGTTCTCCTTCATGCTGGGCTCTCCTTTCTGTCCCTCCATCACAGTCTCCTCCAGTTGCTCTAGTTCTTCCAGTATGGTCTGGACGCGACGGACTCCGTCTCGTCTCGCTTGCCGTACGTCTGAACGGCCCTCCGGGTCGACAGAGTCCAGCGCTAAGAGCTCTTTGGTGAGCAGCTCCTCCAGTAACAAGTATTTCTTATCATTCTTCTTCCCATCAAAGCACTTCACCTCCTGCTCCAGTTTAGCGACTCTTTCCACTATCTGCTGTACCTTAGCTAATCCTGGGTGGATGGGACCCTGAGCAGCTTGTCCAGCCTCTACTTTTCCAGGTGGGACCTCTGGAGGAAAAGATTTCGTGTCCTGGGGCTCTGGTTTTGGAGGTATTTGAACTGTGATGTCTGAACTGTGGTGTTGTGGTTGTTCAGGTTGCTGAGGCTGTGGAGACGTTTGAGGTGGTGCCTGCTGAAACTGCTGTGGCTGCTGGAACTGTTGAGGTTGCTGAGGTGGAGGCTGCTGGAAGTGTTGAGGCTGCTGAGGTGGAGGCTGCTGGAAGTGTTGAGGTTGTTGAGGCTTTTGGACATCGGCTTCTGTGTGCATCGGCTGGGGGATCTGCGTGTTCTCGGGTTTCTGCTGCATGCTTTGTTGTTCCTGCTCCATTTTCTGTGGCGGCTCTCTCGTGAGGATATGCTGCTGAACCTTAGAAGTCAAAAACAATTTATTGGAATCTGTCAAAATCTAGGCCACAGTGTGCTAACAGGGAAATCAAAGCTTTATATATATCTGAAGAAAACAAAAAACAACAACACGCCAAGTGAATACACAGAAAAAGTAAAATTACCTGTGGCCTTTCTCCCATCACTTGTGATATAACAGGTGACTGGCTTCTGATGTGAGGAGGGAGATGAATGGAGGCAGTATCGCGGTGCTGAGGAAACAGAGTTGGCGAAGCCTGTTCCCGGGGGGGCTGCATTGCAGCAGAGTAGCCGGGCCATTCATCTGTCTGAAGACGATGGAAGGGCTGCTGATGTTCTGGGTAAGGGATGCGCTGAGAGTAAACTGAGGGATTTAATTGAACCTGTGTCTGTCCCCCTCCACCCTCATGAATCACTGGTATAGGGATATAACCAGACTGGAGACCGGTGCTGCTGGGACGTGAAGGTTGGTGATGCGTAACAGTATAAGCCTTAAAAATAAATGACCAAATTAAAACAGTCAAAATTCAGTAGTTGTTTGAAAATTGGAACATTTCTGCCTACTGTAAACATTATACTCCATCTGGTGGCACATTTAAACTCAATTCCCACCTCTGGTGTCTGTGAGACAGGCGAGCTGGTCTTTCCAGGCTCAGAGGAGGAGCTGTCTGACGGGCCATGTAAAGGCGATCTAGGCCTGCAGTGGAGAACCGGCGTTGGGGAAGGTGTCCGCCCGTCTGTCCGGATGTTCTGTGCAATGCTCGGCTGGATGTAGGAATAACACGGGTGCTGCTGCTGCTGCCTCAGTTCTGCGCCTTCATGAAAGACTGGGATGGGAACATAACCTGGGCGAAGAATGGGGTGCTTCATCTCCCTCACAAAGGTCTTCTGTGTCTCCTGAGGACTTAGTTCTGGCTGTATGTTGGGTCCATTTGCTGACACTTCTCGAACCTGAAACATAGCAATATAGCAATTTATATAACCTTGTACTCAGATGAATTACAGTTGCTATTGTAGTTTATTGCAAATTTTAGGCATCGGTTGATTACAAAATGTGCTTTAATATATTTTTACCCAACTTATTCTTGCTCATGGGTGTGTAACAGAAGCAACATTACTTTTATATATGTTAAATATTCAGCTATAAGCTCGTCCATATAAAGAGTTACATTTAAGTCCACATACAACAGGACATTTTACGATGTCCCACTAAATGTTTTTTTCAAACTATTAAGGAATTTTAAAAAGGAAAGTGTTTTCCGTCCTGAGGTAACTGCAGAGGTTACAGTTTAAAATGTCACAATTTCGCAGAGGGATGCCAAAAGTATCACCTCATTGAATCTTTGATATGTGAACCCACAGGCTCTGGTGCGTTTCCCGTCAGACAGCTTGCTGTTTCCGTGATGAATATTATTGTTGATTGTTTCACAATCAGAGTAACATAACCTGGATGAATGTCCTGACTTATCCAACAACAACAGTTAGCACATCCTTGGATCTAATAATATCAGCCAAACATTAGGATTTTTACAGAGAGAGGAAATGTGGTTTGTTTTGATTGAAAAAAAAAAGAGTAAATATATGAGTTCTTTCCACATAGCACAGTAAATTCTTTCTTGAGCAACATTTATTCATCAAATCATATACAATCCCAGGATACATTTGTATGCATACAAAAGTAAAATGTAATTAAAAGAAGGAGCTGGGTACTGCAGTGTGACTAGTAAATAAATGCTTTAAATGTCCATTTTCTACTGCAGAAAGGCGCTTGTTTTCTATTAGTATTACTTTAGAATAGACACCTGCAGGTGACAGCTATGGATGGGTACAAGCAACAGGTCTGCCAGTTCAGCACTCAGTTAATGGCATAACTGAAAAGTGACAAAAGTTGTACCAGCTGCCCGAAACACACCCAAAGTAAACACCTACAAAGCAAACACTGCATTTATCTGTAAATCAGTGGCATTCTTCCAGTAGGACTAAAGTAATGAAATAGCCGTGAACGACCCTTTGCCCTCTGCCACTATGGGACACTCCACGCTGCCAGCACCATTGCACCAATTTTATCCCCCAACAGCTGTGTCTTTCTAGCAGATTCCTCTGGACGCTAACTTTGGACAACAGCGTCTCTCTCTCTGAGACGAAAGATTACCAGCTGGCAGGCTGTGAAGCTCACTTCAGCCCACGGGTTTTCTCTGCAGACCTGTGCGCTTTCACAACACGGTTTTTAATACAGCTGAATGCGATACGCGGGGGGCAGCCAGCGCCCGGCTACAGCCGTACACAACCGAAGCAAGTGGACCAGCCTCGATCCTTGTAAGGGAAAAAGTTTAATATGAGCAGGACGTCGCAGCAGTGTTTTCCACCGTGAAAGAAACACATTAAAATACCGGGGAGCTCATCATGGGTAGCCTTTTGCATGCTGCAGAGTGAGTCATCGAGTAATAATAGTGTTAGATCATGACTCGGGAACATATCAGAGTTGATCACCCGTTATAATGGGCTTATGAGCTGTCCGTGAGGGGGAGGCAACGGTGCCAAACAGGGCCTACGGTCAACAAGACTAATATATAACAGTGATGTAGCGCAAAGGCTTCTGCCGCTTTAACAACGCAACAAACCAAAACATGCACCACAACCGACGCACGTCGACAGAAAAAAAATAGCGGCGACACTGCCGTTAGCCGTTACCGTTAACTAACCAACTTTATCCCGCCGCTCTTTTACCTTTTTCGTGTCGTGTCTCGGGTCATTCCAGGTTGTGGTGCGGTTGTTGTGGTCCACGAAGAAGGGCCATCCAGTCTGAGGGTCAATTTTTACTTCCCAACCGAGGGGGAGAGGGTCGTTGTCATTACTCGCCATGGTCAGCATCGGTGACTGTGTCTTCATGCCGTTCATATTGCTGGCTGTCGAGTACTGAGACATTTTATACGGGCGACGGACGCTTTAAAGATTCCTTCAAGTGACGTGGAAAAGTGGGCTGGAAGTTTCTCGAAATAGCAGGGTTAATGTTGGGGGCGGACAGCGCTGGATACAGTGGCATGGGTTCCCAGATTTTTTATGTCGCAGGCAGACCCCCCTCACATAGGCACAGAGTAAACCCTCGGTATTTTTTTTTTTTTGCCCAACCCAACAAGCAAACCTTTTTTTCCATCTTTGCTGTAGCTAAATCACAGTGTCCTGTCTGGGCAGAGAAGAAATCACCCTTATGTGTACAGTGGGCACTGTGGACCTTCCTCAGTTTCCCTTGCCCCTGGACCATTTTCCAAGACAAGGGAATCCCAAAGTGTTTGCTTAAAAAGATGTTCTCCAAATAGATGTACTCAGACTCCCACGTGATAAATGCTGTCCAAGGGAACTCAGTCTGGGTTTGCATTGATTTGGTGCACAATTATGTAACTGGTGGTGTGATAAGTGTGGGCACAGTGACACGTCTAATGACTGATCTTTCTTAATCAAAGGACTACTCCAATTGTGCCCTGTACTACAAGGAAAACACCAGTGCAGCAAACCTTTGATTTCGTGGGATTAACAGTGTCACAAAGGTTCGACACATGGATTTTTAAAAGTGTTTGATATTTTGGACATTGCAGGCAACGCCATCTAATATTTGCATTTTGGCACTCCAGAAAATACACACGTGATTGACAGTAATAAAATATGTGTATTAAGTAGCTTATGGGAGCAATTCGTTTTAATTGGATATCTGCCTGCAAGGAGGGGAAGCCAACTTTAATTGTTGCAAGCCTGTCAATTATATCACCGTTAATTACCCATCGCCACGCTTTTCTTAATCCACCTCAGACGGTTTCTTATGGCTGTAAAAATATCACGGTTGCGCAACACAAATTAGAGCCAGTAACATTAAAGAGTGAGAGTAACTAAAGTCTTTTTTTAATGGAAAATTACTAGTAGACTTAAGAATGACAGGGGATAATTTTTTACGCATTTGTCCTTTAATAAAAGTCCTTCAAAATAAAAGCGCCCACCATGCGCCAAGTTTAAACCACAAGGAAAAAATAAAAATGAGGGGGGAAAGAAAAAAGAACACAATGTCTTTGGATAGTATAAAAAAGTACAATTCTTTGGTACTGTACACCCAGGGTTATCACAACAGTTCAGGCAATGAACACAACAATCTTGTTATTCAACTTTTTTTTTAACATATACGTTGACATATAATTTCTATCCCCCACTCCACAACCACTGCCTTGTTGTGACTAAATATTTAAAAGAGTTTGTTAAAAAAGCGTGAATGTACAAGTCAAACGGGAAATTTCTTCACAGTGACATCTGAGCTCAGATTCGAGAAACCTCCTGGTGGTTCGCGCCACTGCCTTGAGCCGTCAAATCTCGGCATTGAAAACAAGCGTACCTTTGCTTTGCACTTCAAAATAAGAGTTTCGTATGCAGCTTCCTTTGCCAAAATGAATAAAATAAGTACACATTAGGTTTGCTCTTTTGGCTTTTTACAGTTAATTTAAAAAACTGTATCATTCAGAAGTAACGGTCTTTAAGAAATTTTCATTTTTTTTTACAATTAAGAACATAAAAAAAACCCTTTTATTACTTCAACCTAATGTGACGGGTCTCTTCCTGCACACGCACGTACGTACTCTGGACTCTCACAGTGTGACGTATGCCCTGGCGCCCGGTTAGCTAGCTTCTAAGCTAGTTAGCTAGTTACGGTTTCTAATTGCCGGTTAATACCAGCTAGAACTAGCTAGTAAGTGGCGTTTTCTTCCCTGGTTACTCTCAGCATCGACTATGGACGACGAAACCCACCCCAGAACCCTGTAAGTAGTTTTTCGTGTCCAGCAGTAACGTTGCGTGTCATTAGTTTCGCTATCGTCGGTATTCGGTGGCTAAATTAGCTACCCGTTGTTTTCACAAACAACTGGACGACATAAACATTTAGCGTTTATGATCCACTACTGTCAGGTTAATTGACATAAGAGTTAATTAATAAGTATATGTGAGTTATATATAAGTGTTAACAACTGTCTGTTAGATGTTACTAACATCGTTAAAAAACAGACTACTGTAAGGAACTTCACTTCAAAAACTCATAATCCCCAATGATACTGTAATACCAGAAACGAAGTACCCGTGGTTCACTTTTTCGAAGTAAATATAGCTGTAGCTTGTTTCCAGGAGTAAGTGGACTTCTTTTTATTTTTCCTCCTCTAGGTATGTGGGAAACCTCTCCAGGGATGTAACAGAAATTCTGATCCTGCAACTCTTCACCCAGATAGGACCATGCAAAAGCTGTAAAATGATCACAGAGGTAAGCAGCGAAGGTTGCTGGGTTATCTTGTTTTCTACGTTGTTGTCGTGTCCTAATGTTAACTGAAAAGTTAACGGCAAAGATAGCCTTCACTGTTGAGAAACCTGAAGACAATAAAAACATTTTCACTGAGTTGTAGTTTTAGTTGAGCCACACTGTTAATCTGTTGTGTCTGATCTTATCCTTACAGCACACGAGCAATGATCCCTATTGCTTTGTGGAGTTCTTTGAACACAGAGATGCTGCTGCAGCCCTTGCAGCCATGAATGGGAGGAAGATATTAGGAAAGGTAGGACATAGTTGCTCTAAAAGATTATATGCAAAGTTATTAAGTTTATTTGTTGTGTTAATGCTTCTCATCCTTAAATATCATACAACATTGTTTTCCTGATTCTTCTTCACAGTTTTAAGTGCTCTCTGTGAATTCTGTTTTCAGGAGGTTAAAGTAAACTGGGCCACTACTCCAAGTAGCCAGAAGAAAGACACATCCAGTGAGTGATCACCTATTGATTCCCCTACACCACCACGCACACAAACGCACGTACACTCTGCTAGAATCAGAGTCTACTGGGGATTGGCAAATAGTTTGTTTACTATGTCCGTGTTTTCTTTTGTACTAGATCACTTCCATGTTTTTGTGGGTGATTTGAATCCAGAGATTACTACTGAGGATGTCAGGGTTGCGTTTGCACCATTTGGGAAAATATCGTAAGTTTTTACGTGTGTGTGTGAGTGGGAGAGTGTTTGTGTGTGTATTTTTTTTCTACTTGTCTTATGTGTAATAGAATATGTTTCAGTGCAACCACTGATATTTTTTTTTCTTCCTCCCAGTCGGTTGAGAAACAGGTTTTATAGGTTGTAAAGGTGAAACAGAAAGTTGCATTACACAATGAGGCCTGCATTTCTGACACAATCTTTTTGGATGAAAGACAATTATATGTTTGATTGTCAAGGACTGCAAATTGGCGCTTTGTGCACACCTTTTGGAGAGAAAAACGAACCAGACAACATAATGAATGTGTAACAGGAAAGGATTAACACTAGAATAGAATAGAATAGCATAGAATAGCCCTTTATTGTCACAAAGAGTATTGCTTACATTGAGTAGAAAAGGCCCCACATTGATGCATGTAAACATACTTAAACATGGAGTAACTTATACCTTTAGAATCATGTCGTTGTTGTTTTTAGATATAGAGTGGCGACACATTTGCATTGACAGTGTGGTCGGTCTATTATTTCTTTATTTTTATGACTGAACTGTCAGTTTTTTATGCATATGTAGGGTGTGGTAAGTAATCTGTACAGTATGTTAGCAAAATGTAAGCTGTGTATATGTACCTGAACAGCTTTTAGTTTTGAGTCTCAGTGAAGTAATAGCACTTTGGTTATTTTACAGAAATGCTCATAGGATTGGACAGGAGCTTGAAGGCTAACAGCAAGGAACTGTTCACTCTGGAGACTCAGATGTAGTTTTTTTCTCTATTTATTCCATTCTTTCCATATGTCTTTATTTGTAGATGCCATGTATTAACATGACCTAGCTTAGATTAACAAATTCCAGTACAAAATGTCTTCCTCTAAATCTGTGTTTTGTCTTATTTTTGATTTGCATAGTGTTGTTTGTAGTGCCATGATCCTCTTCCAAAAATTCTGAAAATGTCAATTTCTTAAAATTTGCAGCTCCCCAAACTCCATACTCCATATTGGTGGTAAAGAATTGACCAGGAAAAATAAAGAAATCTGTTAACAGGCCATGTATGCCGTTTAATTCCTTTTTTCTCTTTTTGATATTTTCTATTTATCTCTGTCTGTAGTAAGAGTACAAACAGCAGCTTATGAGAATGCATGGTAATCCATAGCCATTTGCTTTGTGATTTTTAAATCTGTAGCCTACTGTTGTGAGGACTGAGCAAACAGTGGTGCTCTAGTGGTAAAGATCCATTAATACATCAGAAATGATTTAAAGACAGTACTGTAGGCTGCATGTATTTGTACTTGTTTTGCAAGTGTTGCTTTGAAGTTATATTACGAGTCAGTACAAGGTCATGATAGCTAATTTAGCTTAATGTAGGGCAGAGTAGAGGATTCACAGTTCATTGTGTTTTGCGTGGTTCCTTTTTTTTGTTTTAGTGTAGAAGATTTAAACTTCAAAGTGCGCTGAAGTTGTTCTCATTTCTCCTTCCAGGGATGCCCGAGTTGTGAAGGACATGACGACAGGCAAATCAAAGGGGTATGGATTTGTGTCCTTCTACAACAAACTGGTAAGGCTCCAGTGCGAGAACACAGACTGAAGGTTATTTCTATTTTCTGTTTCTTATCCTACTTGAATACATTCAAAACTCAATTATTAATAGTTAGTCTTATCACAACTACAAGCATCTAGCATTACTAGTTTCCTATTTTAATCACCAGTTTCACTTACTATTTTAAAATTAAAAAGAGTCATGCATGGCCACAAATGAGTTTTATAAATCTATCAAATCCATGAGTAATCGTTTGGCTTGGGTTTGCAGGATGCAGAGAATGCCATTATTAACATGTCGGGACAGTGGCTCGGAGGGCGCCAAATCAGGACTAACTGGGCTACGCGTAAACCTCCAGCTCCTAAGAGCACTCAGGACAGTGAGTATTGTCACATATCCAGTTTCGGCAGGTGCTATAATTACAAACTAACTGGGCACTTCAATAGGTATACCTTGCTAGTATTGGGTTGGACCCCCTTTTCCCCTCTGCCCAAGCATCAACAAAGTGCCTGAAGGATTTTAGTCCATATTGATGTGATAGCATCACATGTTTGCTGCAGATTTGTTAGCTTGAATCCATGATGTGAATCTCCCGTTCTACCACATAAGATATGATAAGCTTTGTTGTTCTAATTCAGGAGGGTTCCATACATAAGAGGATTATGGCCACTGGGGGGGGAAAAAAAAGAAGTGAGCACGTCTTTTTTCTGCCTTCTTTTCCAGAATTCTGAGAAAAAAGTCAGAATTCGGAAAAAAAAGAAGACGTGCCCACTTCTTTTTGGCCCCAATCCTCTTCCGTAGATTCATGCATTCATGTTTTTCACACCAAATTCTGACCGTACCGTCTGAATGCTGCTGCAGATATTGAGATTAATCAGATCGGGAAACGGTCCAATCTTCTGTTTTCTGGTTTTTGGTGTATTGTAGCTGTGTGAATTGTAGCTGACAGGAATGTCATCCGATGCTGATGTAGCCCATCTAGTTGAAGGTGGTGCGTTCACAGACGCTCTTCTGCAAACCTTGATTACAATGAGTAGTTAAATGAGTTACTGTTGCACTTTTGCTCAGACAAATGACACTCATTGGATATTTTAGGGTTTTTTTAGACTTATCTCTGTAAACACTCGAGATGGCTTTGGGAAAATTCCAGTAGATGGAAACTCAGACCAGCTTGTCTGGGACAAACAAACATGCCATGTTCAAAGTCACATAAATATATTTTATTCCCCATTCTGATGCTTGGTTTACTCAAATGCATTGAGTAGCTACCATGTGATTGACTGATTAGATATTTGCATTATCAAGCAGTTGAACAGGTGTACCTAATAAAGCAGACAAAGAGTCTGTTATCAATGCATTTTGATATTGTATTTAAATATAGAAGAAACTCTCTTAAGAATAAATTCTCTTAATTTCCTTGACTTTTATCTTCACTTTCACCTTTTCATGAGTCACATTTGGGTGTAGTTTGATTTAAAAAAAAAAATAGCAGTGCTTTTATGGGCATAAATTGCAGATTTGATTTGGATTTTATTATCAGCATGAACTAAATGTGTAAATTATAATCATCTATTTAAAAATAATCTGTTTTTATTTCAGATGGTTCAAAGCAGCTGAGGTTTGATGACGTAGTGAATCAATCCAGTCCACAGAACTGCACTGTGTACTGTGGAGGGATCCAATCAGGGCTATCAGGCAAGTGTCACATTCTATAGATGCCATTGTTGCACCCTCTAGTCACTTTGTAATAATAACTTTTTAAGTTGCCTCCAATGAACTAACCTTGTAAACCCTTTTTTTGAACTCTTGTTTATCTTATCCAGAACATCTAATGCGACAGACCTTCTCACCATTCGGTCAGATAATGGAAGTCCGGGTTTTCCCAGAGAAAGGATATTCTTTCATCAGGTAATACTTGATTCTGTTGCAGCATTTGGCCTCTAGGTGTCAATACAAGCACACTGCATGAGTCAGAGACCATTTATACCTTATTCAATGTCAGCGATAGTTGCTGTTATGTTTATTCAGCGTTCCTGCTTGTAGAACTCTGGATAAGAGAGAAAAATATCTCCACGTTGTTGTCCCTATGCAGTTTTCCAAAGCATTTCTAAAGTTTTTTAGTTTCGATGTGCATGTGATGTTATTAAAGGAAGTTATTTAACATGCTGGTAAACATGTCCCTGTCTTAATGTTAAGTATAGGGCTTAAATTATTTATTTTCATTTTAAACTCCATCCAAGCTTAGCAGGAAACTTGGTTCTTTTTGTAATATGATATCAAATATGGTCTCAGCAGTATGAAAGTGAACTCCCCCTGTGATTTGTCTGGTAGAAAATCTGACTTTCAATCTACTCTTTTGCTTTGAAGGTTTTCCTCCCATGACAGTGCTGCCCATGCCATTGTTTCAGTAAATGGCACAGTCATTGAAGGACACGTAGTGAAGTGCTTCTGGGGCAAAGAATCACCCGACATGGCAAAAAGTCCACAGCAGGTAGAGAGAACGTGTGACATAAGTGGTGTTAAAATGTGCGTTTTATATGTCACAATTGGTAGGAATGAATACACAATAGTCACACTAGAATCAGAATGTAGTTTATTGATGTCTTGCCTTCCAAACCACAAAAACACCCTGAAACTCGTGACTTTGTCCACTCTTAAAATAATCTTGCTTTTAAGCCAGAATATAGAAAAAATGACACAAAAAAAGGAAGAGGAAATTTACTCATCAAAAAGGTTTCTAGTGTCGTATTTTTGTTGTGTTATTTTTGCTGTTGAATAAACAGGTAAGAGATTGTATATTTACTCACATTTCTGTCATCTGATGTCCTTCAGGTTGATTACAGTCAGTGGGGACAGTGGAACCAGGTCTACGGGAATCCGCAGCAGCAGCAGCAGCAGCAGTATGGGCAGTATGTGACCAATGGGTGGCAAATGCCCTCTTACAACATGTATGGCCAGACATGGAACCAGCAAAGTTTTGGAGTAGAGTGAGTTTGACTTTTGATATTTTGTATAACTACACTGTTTCACTTAAACACCACTTATTATATTTTAATAAAGAGAAGAACTGTCTCTTTGATTTGTTTTACAGCACACTTGATATTTTTGTCCATATTTGCACTAACTTTGGTAACTGATATCATTTCAGGCAGTCCCAGTCAACAGCCTGGATGGGAGGCTTTGGATCTCCATCAGCCCAGGCCGCAGCCCCGCCTGGTACAGTCATGTCCAGCCTTGCCAACTTCGGCATGGCTGGCTACCAAACGCAGTAAGAAGGCCCTAACCTCAATGTAATACCAAGGCGACACAGCACTCTTACATTTGGACAGCTGCTGTGGTAAAAGAAGGGCGGGGCCATATTCACAAAGCCTTTCTAGCTAATAGTTGCTCCTACACAATTACAGTATACAACAGAAGGGAGCACACCCCTGTGCAATATTACATAAAGGTCAGGTGATCAGAGCTGTACTGTCCAACAGTAATTGTGTTACTTCTGAGTACAGCAGTATGGTATTTGCTCTCATGCAAAGTTAAAAATGAATGGTAGATATTTCCTTTATAATAAATGTGTTTATATAATATTTGCTTTTCTTCATCAGAGGAAATACCCTTTCAATTCACGCAATAATGCTGTTAGTGATACAGTTTTGAATCTTTTGAAATCTAGGTAATATTGTACAGGTGTGTATTCGCTTTTGGTGTAGAGTGTATGATTTTAATCACAGTCAATTAAACTCAAAACACTTAAAAAAAAAAAAGTTTGTTCCATTATTAGTCCTAATTCTGTTTTAAAAGAGGGGGAAAAAAGTGCTCTTGGGCTTCTCAAGTAAAGCCAAACCAACTGTTTTTGTCTGAGTACGTGTTTAAGGACACACCGTCCTTATGAGTGCTAGACCATGTGAAACATCGAGGATTCATGCCTACAGAGTAGAGATCTTGGCACAGAGACAGAACTTACAATGCCTTTCCTTTCATCACACATTTAACCGGTTGACCAGTGGGCCAACCCATTAACCTCGTAGGACCTGGCGTCCACATATGTGGGCATCACATTTTGGGTTATTTAGACCAAAATACTGAATTTTGCTCTACAAGGGCCTGATATCCACTTACAAGGAAATTATACTGCTACTGTTCTATCAAAATTTTAAACGAATATCCTCATATTTGGCTCTTATTTTTCTTAAAAACAAAAATAAGGTTAAAAAAAATCTGGTAATTCTTTGTTTTTACATTCATCGGGCCCCAATATGTCCAAATATCAAAGAGAAATCAAAATGCATGCCGTGGAAGAGTTCGGGTCTTAGGAGGTTAAAACATCAATTTAGTACAAATTCTTTCATATTTTACAAAACAAAAGGGCCTTAGAGAAAATGTACATGTAACATAGCGCACACTTTTTAAATGCCACTATTATAATTTTTTTTTTAATCCATCAGCTCATGAGGATTAAAAACCGTGAAAACCTCAAACATACCAACATTAATATTTAAAAACCAAACTATGGCAATTTTTTTTTTTTTTTAGGTTGAAAGTTTATTTTCTGGTCATGCTTGTCATTTTAGGGCGTAAAACAAGCCTTCATGCGAGTTCACGATAGATCGAGAAGGTAAATCCTCCATGGATTTGTGCTACACTCCACTGAGCCGCAAGAATGACCCACTCAACATTGGTCTGGACCTTCAGGGAATAAAATATCCAGACTTTTAGTCCTGTTTTAATATTTTAAGTCAAAAATGCTTTGTGAATAGAGGCCCTGGAATGGTAGTTTACCTTTCCATTATATGTGAAGAAACTCTCTGTACAACAACTGTGGCTTTAAAGGAGATTCGGGTGGGAAATGGGATTGTGTACCAAGAAGATTTCACCTACACAGGTCTAAAAGCAAAAAATTATTTTCATGTTTTTTGTTGTTGTAGTTTTTGTTTTTTAAATCCGATTCCCAGACTTCAGTGAATTTTAGCTTACTCCGTACTGCAGCCAAGATGGACTAATTCATAATGTCTCAAAGGAACGGCTGCAGCACCCAGTCTCTGTATATAGAAAGTATTGTAAAAACTGCTTAACCCCCCAAACTTTGTAAAGGTAACAAACCATGCTGTGCTGATTCTGGGGCTGGTTTCCTAGAGGAATGCTGACTCTTAAACATTTTTGTCCGATTCTTCCTCTGTGTTAATGCCATCATTTAAAACCACTTCTTTCCAGTGGCTTTGAATTTTCTGCATAGAGTTGTAGAGTGAATTTTGTACTATAACCAGCCCTAGTTTTATTGCATAATTCAAATATTATGGTTTAATTACCCACTAGCATAAAGAAAAGCTCAAATGTTTTAGGGTCACAAAGAATTATTTTACTTTTATTCTGAAAGCGGAGGGTCTCCTAGGTGCACGTATCACTGTTTTGTTAATGTGGCAGAAACTTCCCCTTACGCATTCTGAGTTTTCGGTTTAAAGAATATTGACACGTCTCGGGTAAATCATAAAACCCACTGAGAAATTACGACAGAAGGATTTCTCACAAACATCCTGCAATTTTGGATTTTATTTGTGTTTGTGCCATTTGTACAGAATATCATACTCCCTGTTTGCTACCTGCTCGTTCTGTAGTGCTAGCCAACAAACCTGATACAGATTTTGTTTGTTTTCATTTGCGCTGGGGTTTTCATTGAATTAAACAGGGTCTTGTTTGTCTAGAGTGTAAATACAAACCTTGATCACAAATCCTCAAAACTTAAACTGATGTAGATACTATAGGTAGAATGTTACAAAGTTAATCTCCATCATTAAATTTAAGCAATATAGTTTGCGAATGAGCCTTAATTGATTTGTTGGTAAATTCTGAATTTGTTATTTAAAGATGCTCCATTTTAAATCTAAATTATCTTCCTTTTAATTTTTCCTCATTTTAAGCTTTGTGCCATTTTCAGGATGTAGCAGGAAGCAGGTGATGTATCAACTTGAACTGCACGCTAATGACATGTAATATATTTGTTGCTTAAACTATTGAATGTAATGACGATTTGCTTTTTTTTTGACCATTATACACATAAATTGAACAACAGAAGTGATGTTTATATAATAATAAAGGATTGAATCGATTTCACATTTAATGGAAAAACTCAACAAAGTCACGTCAAATAAAGAAACCTTTGAACCTTTGAGTGTTCGGTACATTTATTGAGGACTAATAAATGCTGCTGCAGGAAACCATATATTCACTGCCTACCAGACACAATAAATGACAATTATTAAACTTTAGATTAATATAGAAGACAACACGTTTCACACATTTGCTCAAAATCTTTCTGCCCTTTTTAGTGTTTACTGTACTTGGATAATAGACATATTTTTCCATTTTTAACAGGAATAGGTTTGGTATCTGCCAGCATTCACTTTTGACTGCTAGTGTCCTATCAGCAGATAATGATGACATTAGCTATTGTTTGATGTCTCAGTTATGTGTTATGGTTTTTATAATACTTAACACACGTGTTAAACCTCTCGTAAAACAAGAAAATACAAACCTATCAAAACTTGTTTAGAACCAAAAATCATTGAATTCACATTTTTATACCCAAATTTGAACCAACACGCTGGACTAATCAGAAAAAATCAAACATAACATTGAACCACTAAATTAACTAATTTTGCAACTTAATCAAAAACAATGTGTTTTACTACTTTTCTTGTAAAATGGTACATTCATGGAAAATTCACGGACAATAATAATTATATTTTAATATTATTTTGGTGAGTTAACCATCACAAAAACGTAAACATCGTTTTGTTATTACCTGCCCTGGTATTTTAAGACAGCTGTGGTATAAAGCTTACATTTAGTGGTGGTCTAATAAATTTGTTAAACACTGTATATTAAGTTTTATTCATTTTGTATGTTTAAATTGATCTTCCTTTAAAGATGGTGTGAGAGCTGAAAGATTTACTGAAACAAAACTTGAGAAAAGAATTGTTGCAAGATTTCAAACACTGGTGTCATTTCATAGTGAGTGCATCCCAATGTGATGAGTATGATTATTACACCTTGGCATGGTGTTGAAAAATTGAGCCATTTCACTAAACCATATAAACTATAAAATTGGCCAATAGATATTGAGCAAATGTAAGCGAATGTGAACATTCATCAATAGATTAAAGCAAAGTATTCACTTGGAATTTAGTTAATATATGTATTGCCCAGAATTGGATTATATTACACAACTTCTCTATTTAAGTATATTATATTACACAGCACTAATGCATAACATAACATAACATTTTATATATATATACTTAAACTGTGCAGTCAGCTAGTAGACAAAATATTATTTATACAATTTACATATCTGCATGATTTCTGTTCTTTCAATATTGAAATGTCGTATTGTCAGTACTTTATTTAACATGTATATTAGGAAGTTTTTATCCAGCTGTTTTCCTCAGAGGTTAATTACATACATCACTTGCTGGTGGAGCTGTGTACTGCTTGCCTTCGGGATGACATCTCTGGCGTCTGTTGTGCTGTCCTCACTGACCAAAGTCATGACTATCTGAGACAGTTTCATCCTTCTGGATAAGGGCAATTTAAAATTAATTGTTGTGTGTTTGTAAGACTGCAACCAAGAAAGTCTACTCTCATTTTCTAGATACTACAACACACTTGGTAGCTTGAATGTACTCTTCTGGAGCTGTTTAAGATTTCTAACATGTAATCTTGCTGTTTACAAGTGATGTTTGCTCACATCGTTACTGGTCACGGTTTCTTTGCTGTTGCAGCGTCTTTAGCTTTCCCTTGTAATCCCAGTTTCTCCATAATCAGCTCAGTCTGGGACGCAATGCCTGCCACGGAGCTTTCAAGCTGAAGAACCTGTTTGGCCAGACTTCCGGGGCAATAGAAAGGTAATTCAGTTAAATGTATTACTCTGGTTAGGAGAATGAGATAGGTGCATTCGCAGGTTAAGTTTAAAATTTGTCCCACCTCAAGAAATGTTCCCGCTCCACAAAGGTTTGACTGGAATTGCTCTTGTGCTCGTTGGATTTGACAGGAGGCTTCTCGTGTAATTCCATCTGATAGTTCATTCCGAGATTGTTGATTTCGGCACTGAGAGCCTCCTGACGAAAACGCACAAGCATAAGAAACATTTATTTTGTTAATCGGGAATCAAAATAAGAAATGATCAGAAATTTTTTTATAAATATGAACATAGTCATATTTATTTTTTAATGTGCACAAACCCTCTTTTGCTCCAGCTCAGCTTTCATCCACCTCTGTTCGTCTTTATCTAGAATTTTGTTCCCGTCGCGGTCAAACTTGGAGAAGGCTGCGTTTATTTCTTGATCGCCATGTCCCATCCTTCAAAATCATCACAGAAGTGAGGCTCAGGTTTAACAGTAAAATAATCAAGTGTTCCTTTTTGATATTTTGTCACTTACTCTTTAAGAGTTTCTCTGAAGTCCTGAAATTCAAGATCTCCAGATCCAGAGTGTAGAACCTTCTGAACATCTGATATTTTCTCTTTTTTAAGCTTCAGCTTCATAAATGTCTTCATGTAGCTCTGATTTACAAGAAAAGTCTGGTAAAACATCATCCATAAATATGGCTAGTTTTATGCCAATTTCCTTGAATTTGCTTTTACCTGTTTAAAAATGTCAGTAATTTGTAGTTCATCTTTTTCAGAGAGCTCCTGCTTCACCTCTGCATATGTATCATTTATGATGGCCAGGAACATGTTCTGAGGGAAAAATACACAAGATAATGTGACTTCTCGGATCAGATGCTTTTATTATCAGTTATCTCGTGCAGAAGCATGACTTACCAGCAGAACAAAGAAAACAAAAAACACATAAGTGACAAAGTAGATCGGCCCAAGGACTCTGTTAGCGCTGTCGATGGCATCAAAATCAAAGTCTCCAAGAATAATTCGGAACTGTGTGAAGCTGTGGGGTGGACAAAAATTGCAAAGAACTACTAATCAACTGATGCTCGTTACAATTAAAACCCTTCATCCTGCCATTTTTTTCAACACGACTTACATGCACTTTACAAAGGTGCTGAATGTTTGAACCTGCATTCCAAACAGCAAATATCCGAGTTGAGCATAAGCAAAGAACACGATGAAGAACATGATGGCGAATCCGAAGATGTCTTTGGCACATCGGCCCAGCGTGGAGGACAGCTGATTCATGGTCTTACTGAAACTGATGTACTTAAAAATCTACAAGGACGAGAAGAAAGCACACATTCTCTGGAGAGACAACAAAGCAAAATCGCACAAGCAATATGTTGGACTGAAAGGTGTCAGTTCTTTACCTTGATCCATGCGAAAAACAGGTTAACCGCATTCATGTTGTTATACTGGGTTTGCCAGAATGCCAGAAATTCAAAATCTGAATAGATGTTAGGATTTTTCAGCAGATTCCCAAGCAAGCTGTCCACTTTGATGGTCCGAAATACATTGAATATGATGGCAACAATGGCAAGCTGTAAGAAGGTTGTTAGTCTTTAGAAGGCCCTGAAAAATCTGATAAAATGACATGTTTGAACCATCTTTTCTTACCAATATGACAACAATGTCTAGTATGTTCCAGATGCTATTGAAATAGGAGAACTTGTGTATTTTCAGCTCAAGAATCTCCTCCACAATGTAGTAGAAGATGAACACACAGAAGAGCAACTCGCAGCCTAGGATGAAGTAGTCCCAGGTCGTTATGTAGCGAATCAGTTTGACTGTTCGGATCTGGTAGGAAGGGATTGCTCCACCGGTCGCTGGGAATTCAACCACCAACCTGAAGAAGCAGATGACACTTTGGTCAACCACTGGATGGGTATCAGCAGGTGGGTAAAGGTGCAATGGGCAGTAATGCTCCTTACGTGATGACGCAGAACAAGTTGATGTTCGCGTTGTAAGTGGAGAAGTCGATGAAGACTGCTCTGGTTCCTCTGTCCAGCCAAAGGTTGTTCTGTAGCTCAGTCAGTATGTTGGCGCTCTCCTCTTGTGTGCGACTCAGGTCTTGATAGTATCCTGCTCCACTGTAGGTGGCCACCAAGCCCCAGTAAGAGGAACCCTTTATCTCTTTCTCTGTGTGGTAGGTCCAGCTGCAGTGGAAAAACACAAATACTTAGAACATTAAATTGTGCTTCTGCACTTCTTTGTATGTCAGTAAGAAAACAGTGAGTGAATTACGCAGAGCCGTTGATGAGGCCGAAGCTCTGCTCGTCTTCCTTCTGGTTAGTGTAAACAGCGAAACAGCCTTTGATCCCATTTTCGAAGTCACTGTAGACAGTGCAGGAGTTGTTCTTGATCTTGATCTGCCTCATCCTGGGGACACCCAGCAGCATGTTCTCGTAGTAGATGAAAGACGTGTTTCCGCTTTCCAAGGGCTGGTTATTGTACCACGTTGTCCAGTAGAGTCCGTTCAACAGTGGGCCCTGGGCGAACTTTTCATAAAAAGAAAGAGTTTGATTTGTACCTTTCTTTGTGTTCTTAGTGATTTTTACCCCTCAGCCTGAAAGGTTTGGGGTATTGCTGTCACCCTGCAGGCAACGGGGGAAATAGACCGGTAGGCAAGCGTCAGGTGGTGTGGACACCCAACTTTGTAAACCCAATAACTCAAAAATGAGCCGACGTAGGATTTTCAAATTGATACCATAGACTAAAAAAACACATCTACAAAAAATCAAGACAAAAGTTTGGATATGATGTGATAGATGTTGCATAGATTTACATTTTTGAGTTTTATTATTTGTTACCATTTACAAGTAAGGAGAGCAGATGTGTTTAAGTTTGAAACTTACCAGGCAGGATCACTGGAAACCAAGCTTCTTATTTTTAGGCCTAGTAAAACAACTACTCATTTCTTGAAGGGGTTGGAAGGACATATTTTTATATTCCTGCATGTACTAATAAACATATCAGTAACAATTAACAGTATTGCTAAAATCTTAAGCATGTGGAAAAAGATATGAAAGAAGCAGTAACACAAACATCACTGTTTGGTCATTTTAAGTGATGTGGTAATGCAGGGAAGAACATATTGTACTTAAGGAATAATCAGTTTTTATAATTGTTTTTAAGATGTTTCCATTTGAGTTCAGGCACTAATATACATGTTCGGTTAAATGAATCATATAGTTCCTTAAAATTTTGAGAACATCTCAGCTTTGAAGGAAATGAAAAAAAAAATGTTGATGAAAAGAAAGAAACATTTAGTAGCAGAAAAATCACTGCCATGGGAAAAATGAGGAAAACTTACGGTCCAGAAGTCAGCCATGGAGCCAATAGACTGAAACGTAACCCCACTGCTACTGGGTGTATTCACAAACAGGTTCGTCATGGCGTTAGTGTAATAGTAGGCGCTTGAGCTGGTCATCCCATATGTCACTGAAAGACAACGTAATCACATCGTTAATGCCTGGTCATTGGTTCCTATCTGGCTTTGGTCAGGCTCAGCTCTGAACGTTGCTCCATTCAGTTTTCTGAGATAAGACTCGAATGCTGACACGCAAACCTGCATTGAAGACTTGTTGTTTGGCTTCTTTTTTTTTTTGCTTTGTTTTTACATCGCTTTAGCTATCAAACAGATCCAGACGAGAGGCCGTAATTTGTTTGAAGAGGGAGCACGCTGTCCTGACGCAAATGGCCTCATCAAACAGTGTAAATCTAACCCAGACAAAGGATGACGCTAAAAGCTCTTATCGCTAAAAGGCACATCCCTTTCAATCCTAGCTGGACAATGGCTTTTGGGAAAGAAAAATGGGAAGGCTATTTTGTAGAAGCCATTAAAGCAACGGGGATACTTTTAATGTTAAATCAACAGTCCAGAGTGCCCTAACAGCCTGTCAAACAGTGAGCACTTTAAAGTGATCAGTAATGCAAATACAGTGTTTGAAAGTAGACTTAGATGTATTTGGATGTGTATCCCATATTTCAATGACAACATTATGCAAATTAAATACAGGATATTTTTTGGTAAGTAAAAATGTGTCTGAATAACTTCTTTTTGTAAATGTAGGAAAACATCATAAGATTAAGCGTGGACAGGAAGTTATTGACCAGAGTGTTGAACATTAAGCATTCATTAAGCATATTGAACATTCAGTCAAAACTTTTGAGATCAGTGACGAGCAGAAATGTTGATGTGGAGTACTCACGGAGGCATATGTCCACCAGGAAAAAGACATAGACCAGCAGCTCCCGCAGCGTGGTTCGGATGAACTGCTCTCTGTTGTCAGAGGTGTTTTCAGTCAGCGTTGTCCCCCACAGTGCTACGGAAAATAGAAGTTTAAATCATCAATATGTAATTACATGACACAAGCTTTTTTTTTTGTTTTTTTGCTGGTCTGTCAAGCAGAAGTGTACCAGGCTTCGACTGGTTTTACTCGTACTTGTTACACTGCTCATACAGCTGAGATTCGAAGAAGAAATGTCAACATGAGGTAGATTCAAATGTGTTCTTGCCTTTGATAAAACAGCAGCAGCCTCTTCGTTTCTTCAGACTTTGGTCTTTGGTTGGTGGGTCCTCTGGGAGCGCTATCGGGGTATCCAGGTTGTACAGGCTATTCATGTTCCTCTCGAAGTGGGGTTTGGGGTTGAAGACAGTGGTGACCCGGGGGAAGGGTGGAGGGGAGCTACAGTAGCCCTGGTTCACCCAGCCCCCATTACCTACTTTGTCCAACTCAAAGTCCACTTGCCCAGTCAGGTGGCTCTCAGCCCGATTGTTCAGGGTCTTCATGGTGCAAGACGCGTGTGTTTCTCTGTGTGGAACTTCTGGTGTTTCGATTAAAGAGGAAAGTGAAGCTGAGCAGTGTCGGCAGCTTTTGAACACCTGCTGGAGAGGTGGATGACATCAGCTGTGTTGAGGGAGGAGCTGCTGGTCTACTGTTGTAGTCTTGAGATTGAGACCCTTTGAAACACATTGACGTAACAGCACAGTAGGTGTTCTGCTAACACACAGCATTGACGTACTGGTTTCTATAGTGTTTGGATATATATATATATATAATGCAGAACAATAACTAACATTGTTTGGTTTTCCATTTGATTCAATTAGAAAACAAGAAGCACTCAGAGAGCGCAAACCTCCACCAAGTTAGCTCACTCTCTGGGCATATCATAACTCCTTACTTTGGGGTGGTGGACGGATGTTTAGTTTGACTATGTAAACATTATGTAGGGGTAGTTAATGGACAACAGGTATTGATTTGTGAATAAGTCAAGATCATTATATAATATTATACCACAGTATATTTCAGATTAACTAGGCAGCTCATTCTCTCTCTAAAGGCAGATATGAAATGGAAAAGTGAGGTCAGAGGTCAAATGTGAGATGATGCAATGCAAACTATAATGTGATATTTAGAATACATATATACTGGTATCATAAATGTTGCCAATACAAACAAAGGCAATAGAACCTTAGAAACATTTGAAAGATATTATATGAAACTGTATTTGACCCTAAGGAAGAGGTCAGAGGTCTAATGTTGCAATGGCAATAAGAAACATAGTTTCCACTATCTCTAGCATTATCATGACTTTGATCTATTTCAATTTGTTGACCTTGAACAAGAGGTCAGAGGTCAAATCTGAAATCTTTATACAGTAAATTCTACATGTTGACAGTACACACCATACTTGTAAGAATCCTAGTTTATAAGTTATAAGGCTTTTTGTCCATTTTTGACCAATAAATCATTAAGCTGACTTTGAAGCCCTTGGTGGGTGTAAGCTAAATTTTAATGGACTGTTACCATGACCTCACTCTACACCCCCACAAACTTTCATCAGAATTCATTCAAACCTTTTCGAGCTATCGTGTTTACAGAAACAACAACGTGCTCGCTACCAAAACATGTCCTTGGCGGAGGTGACAAAATAAGAGTAGCTTTCCCATCACTCGCATCCTTCGAAATGACATAAAGGACTTTGGTAAATGATAAACTTCATTCTTTTGTAGGAATCTCTACACAGTCCTGCGTGTTAATTTGCTGGAAATGTCCTATTAAAGAAAAAACACGCAGCCATGAGCTGAATAAGGCTGAATAATTCAGCAGTTGAAAGACAGTTTACTTCCATGCTGAGCACATTGTTGTCACTATCGATTAATTGCATGTCAAGTATATTCTCTGTTACCAACTGTTCACCACTTGTGGCTGAATTAATGAGTCTAATTGGAGCTTCACTTACAGCCTCTGAATAGTTTCCATTATGCACTTTTAGCTCTTCCATTTATTAATTTTTGCATCATCTCCTAGTGCTATAACAAGCCTCTCGCAGCACCAGCCACTTGTATTATAGTCTTAAGCACTTAAATCCAAACACAGCTACACAAAAGAACAGCAGGGTAATCAGATGAGTTTAATGCGTTAGTGTTTGGACATTACAGCTAAAGCACTGCTGTAGATGTCTTCATCTTAACGCGGATAGAGTTTGGGGCCAGCTATGGGCGTTCATGCTTCATTGGCTCTGAACAGAGCGATTACGCACACCCACTGCCACACAATAGAGTTTAATTTCTGCTCCCCTGCTGAAGCGGTGGTAGAATCTGGCACGCAGGCTTCCTTAATCTGCTGCGGCTTGTGCCACTGTTCAAACTTACTCATATCTGTAATAATCACTTTTCAGTGGCTTATGATAATGATGATGATCATGATGATGACGGCTATTTAGATGGGTAGCCCTGTGGCTGTAAGAGTCGCTGATGATTATCTCTGCTTACATTAAACTAAATGATTGTTTTTTTAAAAGAAAAGTCTTTATGTATCAAGTAAATTTGATAGTTGATTTGCTAAATGATGCAAATTAATCACAAAGGCTATTTTCCACCCCGTGATGTAAAAGTGTCTTATCTCAAAACACAGGACCTTCAAACTAAAGGATGATTTAATACCGAGGCTGCAGAGCGAGGCTTCGCTCTTACAGGGAGTTTGACATGTGCAACACAAACCATGCTGTAAATTATTTCTTCCCAGTGATAATTCCTCATGCAAAGTGACATTATAAGCATTTAAATGCCATACTTTGTTATACTTTAAACGTCACAGTTTTGGTATGAAGTGCTCAGAAATTAGCTTTTTTTCATATGTATATTTTGCAAACTTAAATAGCAATAAACTGTGTGAAAAGGGAGAAAACCTCTCATAGCTGTACCAATAAAAACAACACTTATAAAGTTTCATACAAAATAATTTTATTTTTGATGAAAAACTATAATTAAAAAAAAGTCTGTTGAAAAATAACATACTTTTTTCTTTTTTTTCAAATCTACAAACATGCATTTACACTTTGGGAAAATAGTTACCTTAGTTATCTGGACATCAGCTATGCATCTAAGACCTCAGTGATTTTTGCATAATCCATCAAACATTGCACAGCTTTTTTAGGGCCACATCAAAATAACCGATTAAAAAAAATTACAACATTGCCTGTATCCTCAGTACAATCTAACGGTCTGCAATGACACTACAGCTGTTTTATTGCTATACTCTGAACAAAAACTTGCTCAACATTGCTGGGTTTCCTAGCAAAAACAAATGAAAGGCTTCAAGCCGGAACCGAAGACTCTTTGATTGTCATACAAAATGAAAATAATGCAATACAAATGTATTTACTGTCTCCTAGACTGGAGAAAAATGATTCACATTGTCATTCACATCCAACAACATGACTGATTATCTACTCGATGGAGCAGTTTACGCGTGCACCTCGTGCCCGTCAAACTGATACGAGAGCGATGAGTGGATGTACTCCTGTCCGGTAGCGGAGTCGTACCTCATGAGGCAGGAGTAGTTTTCAGGCTGCACACAATCAAACTGCAGGTCCAGCCACTGCCTGTGAGAACCAGTGTGCCTCCTGGCATCTGTCAGGATCCGGTTGAGGGCCACGATGTAGCTGAGGGCCATCTGCAGGGTTTCATACTTGGACAGCTTCTTGTCCTGGCCCCACTGTGGGACCACCTTACGTAAGCGATCAAAGGCTGTGTTCAAGCCCTGCATCCTCTTCCTCTCTCTGGCGTTGGCAGCCATCCGGCGCCTCGTAGCAGTCTCGTACTTCTCCGGGCTCTTGGAGTCCAGCTCTGAAGATTCGGATCCAGAGTCGGTGCAGCTGGGTCGACGGGCCTTCATGGTTTTCGATTGAAGACGCAAACTAATCAGATTTATCAAAGAGGTTCCTACTTTCAAGATTCAGTGCTTCTCTGAGCTTTGATTTATTTGTTTTTCCAAGGCTTTCCCTGTGTGCGGGGTCTCAAGTATTTGCAACTCCAAGGAGTGCTCAGTCTGAAGAGTCCAAGGTGTCTGTGATCCTGGAGACATCGGGGCAGCTTTTATAAGACAAAGCAGACGAACAGGTGGCAGCAGGTGGAGCCCCTGCCCCACCCCCACCCTCAATATTGCTCATAGAGAAAAACACACCCATGGAGACTCATAAACACCCACACCCACTCCTAGACACACACACACACACAAAACCTTAATGAAATTCCAATTATCTTGGGCTGGGCTATCTGGCCATGGCTTCACTCGGAGCCATGTGTCACAAAGACCAAAAGTCTACCATCTGGTAGCTCCACTCACCAGTGCTGAGGATGCAAACGAACTAATAGAGGCTAAAGCTCTAATGTAAAACCTACTAATAAACTATAAATGCTGGACTTCTAATTAAGTTAAATGCAAAAATAGATTTCTTGTATTAGAAGCTAAAACTTCAACACAAAAGGAATTTAGAGGATGATGTCATTGCTGGGCTTCTTCTGGCCCCTGGGCCTTATGTTTGACACCTCTAATTTACATAATAAGATTGTATTCTTAAAAAAAGGGACTCACTTTTGTTTACAATTCAGCTCTTTTACATGATAACTCTTTTTCTTTAACTGCTGCGTTTTGTTGAGTTTTT